GGCTCGGTGGCTCAGCCTGTAATCCCAGCACTTTGGGAGGCTGAGGCGAGTGGATTGACTGAGCCGGTGGGTTTGAGACTAGCCCGGGCAACTCGGCGAGACCTAGTCTCTACAATAAATCACGTGCTAGCTTGCACACGTGGTAGCGTGCGTCTGTAGTTCCGGCTGCTTGGAAAGTTGAGGCGGAAGGATTGCAGGAGTTCAGTTGGTGGATGTTGGGGTGGCTGTGAGTGTGCCACTGCACTCCAGCCTGGGCGATGGAGTGAGACTCCAACTCAAAAAAAAAAAAGAAAAAAGTTTCTGCTCTCCAGGTTTTCATCATTAAACGTATACTTCCTGATATAAAAGCACAATGCTGTATATTTGTTTGTGTGTTCACATGGTAAAACTTTCCTTTCTTTCTTTTTTTTTTTTATTTTTTTTAGAGGCTCACTGTGTTGCCCAGGCTGGAGTGCAGTGGCAAAATTAGGGCTCACTACAGTCTTGACCTTCTGGACTCAGGTGATCCTTCCACCTCAGCCTGCGGAGTAGCTGGGACTTGTAGGCATGCACCACCACACTTGGCTAAATTTTTTTATTTTTTTGTAGAGATGGTCTTGCTATTTTGCCCAGGCTGGTCTCAAACTCAGGCTCAACAATCTTCCCACCTCGGCCTCCCAAAGTATTTGGGTTACAGACATGAGGTCCTGCATCCAGCCAAAACTTTTTTTTTTTTTTGAGTCGGAGTCTCACTGTCACCTAGGCTGGAGTGCACACTCATGGCCACCGCAGCCTTGACCTGCTGGGCTCAGGTGATCCTTGCACTTCGGCCTTCCAAGTAGCTGCAATTACAGTCGTACGCTATCACGCCCAGCTAATTTTTGTTGTTGTTGTTGTTATTGTTGTTGAGACAAGGTCTCACCAAGTTGCCCAGGCTGGTCTCGAACCCTGCTTTAGGTAGTCCTCTCATATCAGCCTCCCAAAGTGCTGGAATTACAGGTATGAGCCACTGCGCCTGGCCAAAACTTTTTAAAAGCAAAAAAAAATCAGGATGTTTCTCCCTAAAATCTTTGAATAAAATTAACACTCTGGGAAGATACTATGTTTGTCACTTAGTTTGCATAATTTGTGCATATTAAACTCCTCTCCACTTCAAGAAGCGCAGGGGCTTACAGGTAATAAATTGGTATGTAGGTATGTAGTAGATGGTTTTGAAGAGAGCCTTCTGAATTATTTCTTGACTAAATACCACTTGTCTTTCTTTTGCAGTAAGGAAGCCAGTCATTCGTTTGCCTTAATTAAACCTAGGCTGACAGTTTTTAGTGTTCCACAATATTTGTTTTATTGTGTATATAAAACAAATATAAAGAACTTTATATTTATATTTTATACTAGTGTTTATAAACAAATATAAAGTACTTTGAGTTTTATACACATTGTATATTTGAATTTTATATAGATTGTAAAGTTGTATAAGAATTGTGAAATTATGATACTTCAGTATCTGATTTGAGATAACTGACTAAATAAATTTCTGTGTCTTGGATATAATGTGTTTTGGAAAACCTGCCTGAATGACTGACTATATTCCCTTTTATTTATTTATGCATAATAATAGAATACTGACTCATAATCACTATTCTTATTTCTTGCTAATATGAGAAAACATGAGCAGAATTAAATAAAAATTTAACAATAAATATAGTCTACTACGTATAAGACAGTATATAGCTCTTTATTTCATTTCAGTACATTATATTGCTTCCTTTTCACTTTAAGGAAATTTGTCATGAGTTTGAATCATATGATTGCTTTGAGAACTACTGAACATTTGACCTCAAGAGAAGTTCAGTTGTTGAATAAAATGTTATAATTATTTCCCCTTCCACTTTTTATTATGGAAAATATTCTAAAAGTGCATAGAATTATAAAATGAATTTAATATACTGTCACCCACTTCAGCCAATATTAACTCATAGTTAATATTGTTTTAGCTTTACCTTTCCTCACTCTCTTCTCAATTACCTTGAAGCAGATCTCAGATATTATATCACATTTCATCTGTAAATATATCAGTCTTGGGGCTTAAAAACACTTACCACACTTAAAAGAAATTACAGTCATCTTTTAAAATCCATTATTGAATTAGTGTTCAAATTTTCCTGATTATGTTTATTTCTTTGTTTTTCTTTTTGAACTTATGTTGAAGAAAACTGCTTTGTCAAATAAGAGTTTCCCAGAGTCTGAATTTTACTGATTGTATCCTCAGTGGTGTAATTGAAAGGTGTTCTTCTGTTCCATGTGTTCTATGAGTTGATAGATTGAGAGGCTCGAAGGTTTCAGAGTTGAGGTCTCACTCTGTCACACAGGCTGGAGTGCATGATCACGGCTCACAGCTGCCTCAACCTCATGGGCTCAGGGGATTCTTCTGCCTCAGCCTCCTCAGTAGCTGGAACTACAGGTGTGTGCCCCTACACCCAGCTAATTTTTTGATTTTTTTGTAGAGATGAGGTCTTGCTGTGTTGCCCAGGCTGGTCTTGAACTCCTGGGCTCAAGCAGTCTTCCTGCCTCGGTCTCCCAAAGTGCTGGGATTATAGGTATGAGCCACTGTGCCTGGACCCTTGTTGTCTGTGTGTGTGATGTTAACACCATTGATGATCCATTATTATATATATAAAGTCCATTATTTTATTAGAGCTTATAAAATAGTGGTATTCCAATTTTACTGGTTTTTATTTTAGTTATTAGCTGGAATACTTTTATAAACAGAAAGTTTTCCTTACCGCTAATTTAATTGCCCTGAGAGATAATGCATATAGGAAAAGAATAGATAATTGGTTTTTTCTCTTTATTTATGCACTTTAAAATAATAAGTTGGTTCGCTAGCATCCTCCAAAGTTGACCAACAATAACTTTTCTTATTTAGCAATATATGATATGTGATTTATTCCTATATCCACGCATTCATGTCTCACCTACCTCCCTTCTTTCTCTGTTTTTTTTAACTAAATAAAGGCCTAGTCTTTTGGCACTTAGCTTTTCTTTTTCAAAAGTCTTATTTCACGTGTGGATAATGTAGTTACACTTGGAGAGTGTTGGGTCTACACTGAGTGCAAAATGTTTGAATTTGATAAGGTCCCTTGGGAATTCTTTTCATGGCATTTGAAGGCAGAGCTATAATACAGAGCAACTGAAATGCTTTTGAGAACCAGTCAAGCTTTTTCATTTGCTGTGACTCAGCAAAGCTTTTTCGTTCACTGTGTATGGCTCAAAGTTGAGAATTTCTCTAGAGACTATGTACCTGTTGCATTATTAACTATTCTATTTTTAAGCTATTTAAGACCAAACCAAGTTACTGGTTCATTAAACCTTGTTTTTATCCTTATGTCCTAAGTTGATTGGGGGAAAAAAATTCTCTTCAAAAACAAAATTCCACCAAGTGACTGAAACATGAGTCATTTAATGAGGTGAGGAAGTAAATATTTTTCCTGTAGCGAAAATGTATCCATCCTAATGTTGAGTTTTCAAGGGGCTTTCTGACCACAATTTGTTAAAAATTTTAACTCAACACCAAAAACCTGTATTGGAATTAAATGAACATCCAAACCAGGTGTGGTGACTCACAGCTGCCTGAGGAGGCCGAGGCAGGAGGACTGCTTGAGCCTAGGAGTTTGAGACCAGCCTGAGCAACATGGTGAAACCCCCAGCTCTAAAAACAAAAACCGCTGGGCATGGTGGCATGCGCCAGTAGTCCCAGCTACTCAGAAGGTTGAGGTGGAAGGATCACCTGAGCCCAGGAGGTCAAGGCTGCCATAAGCCATGATCATCATGATCATGCCACTGCACTTCAGTCTGGGTAACAGAGTGGATCCTGACCCAAAAAAGAAAAAAAAAAGCAAAATACCAGGGATTTCCTAGAAAATATTTGTCTAACAATGTGTACTGGTGAATTCTTATTATCATCATTTGGATATTAGCTGGTAGGGGTACTGACAAAGATAACTGTCTAAGTAGAGATGCTATAGAACTAACAATACCTTGGTGTCTATAATACACCAGAGATTGTATTTAGATGTTTTTTGGTTTGGTGTGTTTTTGTTTTTGCTGTTTTTGGGGGTTTTTTGAGTGAGAATCTCACTCTGTAGCCCAGACTAGAGTGGTAACGGCTCATCACAGCCTCCACCTCCTGGGCTCAGGTGATCCTCTCACCCAAACCTCCTGAGTAGCTGGGACTACAGGCCCAGCTAAGTTTTTGTTTCTTTTTGAATTGGAGTCTCTCACTCTGTCACTCAAACTAGAGTACAGTGGCACACTCACGGCCACTGCAGCCTCGACCTGCTGGGCTCAGGTGATCCTTCTGACTTAGCCTTCCAAGTAGCTGGAACTACAGGCACGTGCTACCATGCCTGGCTAATTTTTTTATTTACTGTAGAGACGAGGTCTTGCCAAGTTGCCCAGGCTGGTCTCAAACCCGTGGGCTCAGGCAGTACTCTTACCTTGGCCTCCCAAAGTGCTGGGATTGTAGGTGTGAACCACTGTGCCCAGACAGTTTTTTATTTTTTGAAGAGACAAGGTCTCACTGTGTTGCCTAGGCTCATCTCGAACTCATAGACTCAAGCAGTCTTCCCACCTCACCCTCCCAAAGTGCTGGAATTACCAGTGTGAGCCATTGTGCCTAGCCTTTTTTTTTAATGGACAAGGGTCTTGCTATGTTGTCCAGGCTGGCCTCAAGCTCCTGGGCTCACGTGATCTCCCTGCCTCAGCGTAGCTATGACTACAGATATGCACCACACTGTTCCTGGCTTATTTTAGTTTTATGTATGTCATGTTGCCAGGCATCTGATAGGTCAGAATTAGAACCAGGATCCAAACTCTTACCCTTTTGATTATGCAGCATATGCACTTCAATACATTGCATCTCAGAATGCTTTGGGGTATATAGAAAAATATAGGTCTGACCTGTTAAGTGTCACTGTGTTGAGAGCAGAACCTCATTGTAAGTATTTTGGTTTTTCACTTAGGGTATCGGTACAGCAATCGGAGAGCTGCCTCCATATTTCATGGCCAGAGCAGCCCGCCTCTCGGGTGCTGAACCAGATGATGAAGAGTATCAGGAATTTGAAGAGATGCTGGAACATGCAGAGACTGCACAAGTAAGAACAGTGGGAGATAAAACAGAGTACTTTAATTATCCCTAAAGAAGTTATTATTAAGGTAAAATTATTAATAGTTACTCTGAGGAAAACTGTCAAAGTAAAAAACATGTATGTAAATATGACCTAAGATAGAATATTAAGAAAAGCTGAAATATAAAAGGTAATAATCTTGATCTTAGAATAGAGAGTTACAAGAAGAATCAAATCAAACTCATACTAAACTAAAACTTGTCAGAAGCCAGGGTAGATTCATGTTACCAATGCTATTAGCTGAAACACTTTCCATTATATATTTAGAAGTATTGCAAAGCAAGGAATAAGCAAGGAAGACAAATAGATAGATCAGACTTTGAGTTGTTTTTTGTTTGTTTGTTTTTTATTTTTCGAGGAATCTTACTTTGTCACCCAGACTGGAGTACAGTGGCATGCTCACGGCCACTGCAGCCTCAATCTACTGGGCTCAGGTGATCCTTCCACCTCAACTTTCCAAGTGGCTAATTTTTTTTTTTTTTTTGTAGAGACGAGGTCTTGCCAAGTTGTCCAGGCTGGCTCGAACCCCTGGACTCAGGCAAACATCTTGCCTCCACCTCCCAAAGTGCTGAGATTATAGGCGTGAGCCACCATACCCAACCTCTGAGTTTAAATACTAGAATTTCTGGATTAATGTTTTAAAAATAACATCAGGCCGGACTCAGTGGCTCAGCCTGTAATTCCAGTACTCTGGGAGGCGGAGGTGAGTGGATTGCCTGAGCCCATGGGTTCAAGACCAGCCCGGGCAACTTGGTGAGACCTTGTCTCTACAATAAATCAAAAATTAGCCGGGCGTGATAGCACGCATCTATAGTTTCAGCTACTTGGAAGGCTGAGGCAGAAGGATCATCACCTAAACCTAGCAGATTGAGACTGGGGTGGCCGTGAGCATGCCACTGCACTCCAGCCTTGGCGACAGAGTGAGACTCCAACTCAAAATAAACAAATAAATAAATAAATAAAAACATCAAATACAGTTTACCTTGTTTGGAGGAAAAAAACAATTTAGAAACTGCTCGTTGGAGCCAGACGTGGTAGCTCATACCTGTAATCCTAGCACTTTGGGAGGCCGAAACGAGATTACCTGAGCCCAGAGATTTGAGACCAGCAGGGGCAACTTGGAGAGACCTCATCTCTACAATAAATAAAAAAATTGACCAAGTTTGGGGGCGTGCACCTGTCATCCCAGCTACTTGGAAGACTAAGGCAAAAGGATCGCCTGAGCCCAGCAGGTCGAGGCTGCAGTGGCCATGAGTGTGCCACTTCACTTCAGCCTAGGCAACAGAGTGAGACTCCACCCCACCCCCCCAAAAAAGAAAAAAGCTTTAAACCCGTAAACAATATGCAGTAGTATAATTGACTATAGTAGAACTTTATTTTAAAATAATATTTAACAATTCAAAAAATTCAGATTAGCCTCTGCCTCTGTCAAATTAAAAACTCTTTCTGTGTTCTAAAGAGTATCCTCAAAATGGTCAAGGTAAACTTTCAGAATAGAAAAACACTAAATTCCAGTTCTATGCAAGCAATAAAGTAAATTGGCTGAGGCTTTTTTGACCTGATCACAATCTGTGTGTCAACCTCTATCTCAATTATCCCAACAGAGTTAAGTGTTTTAGTCTTTGGAAAATTCTTAAGAACATTGGTTAAATGACTTCGTCGCCATCTTCAAGTCAGATAACCTTTTTAAAAATGCATTATTACCCAGCACTTTGGGAGTCCGAGGTGAGAGAATTACCTAAGCTCAGGGATTCAACACCAGCCTAGACAACTTGGTGAGACCTCTTCTCTACAATAAATCAAAAAATCAGCCAGGTGTGGTAGTGCATGCCTATAGTTCCACTACTTGGAAAACTGAGGCAGAAGGATCGCCTGAGCCCAGCAGGTTGAGGCTGCAGTGGTCATGAGCGTGCCACTGCATTCCAGCCTGGGCAACAGAGTGAGACAACGACTAAAAAAAAAATGCTTTATTAATTGGAAATCAGCCAAGTATAGTTATAGTTTTTAATTTAAAAGAAAACTTTCATATTTCACAAATTTAAATGTAAAATAGCCAAATGTAAAACAAATGAAATAAAGAGCCATGAACATCTGCTTTGCCCTATCCACCAACCAGATAGTATCCTTCTCTTCTTGGCATCATAATGCTTATAATAATGCTAACAATTATTACTAATATAAACAACTTTTAAAATTATTGTTAATATTTTTAATATTTAGTATCTAATATGACCCTTGTTTTACATCTGAGGTAGTTTGGAAAAGTACCATTTCTTCTATTTTTATAGAAAACTGCCAAACCAAATCTCACATGCTTATAGCTGGAACCAAAACTCAGAAAGCCTGCATCACTGGTATATTCTAATTACTGAAACCAATCCATCCACAAAAGTAGATGGGTCAGACTTGTGACAACGGATACCTCTTGGAGTTGTGATGCAAATTAATGTACTTCATTTAACACCTCTAAAACTTATCTAAGTGAAATTAGCAAGCTGAAGTGCAATAAGCGTAGGGTAGCTTGCAGCTATAGAATTTTACGCTATGACTTGGATGCCAAATGGGCATAAGCTTGTTCTCTCTTAACATACTCTGATTATTTTTCTTAAAAAACAAACAAAAAACTTTGTTTCTCTTGGAATTGACATGCTAAATTTGCATGGTTTCTTTAAGTGTCTGGCTTGTTTTCTCTCACTTCTACCGGCTCTGTAAAAATGCCTATTGATATCACTTTCCACTTGGTAACCCTTATGAAATATCATCATTTCCTTCTTTTCATGAGGTCATCTCTCTGGAGCCCTTCATTCTCCCACTCCAATTGGGACTTGCTGTTCTCTTGGCCTTCTGCAGAGTTGATTCTCTCTTGGTTTGGATTTCTTGTTTTCCTCTTTCTTGATTTACACTCTCATTTTGGTTGACCATATTCTATAGTAGCTTTCTGAGAAAGGGTGAGTAAAATGTGATACATTCTAAACAAATGTTTTCTTCATTCACACTTAATTGATTCACTGAATTTAGAATTTTAGGTTGGAAATCATTTTTTGTACTTAGGATTTAGAAGGCATTGTTTTGTCTTCATGCTTCTGATATTGGTATTGAGAGTTCTAATGCCCTTCTGAGTCCTCTTTATAAGCAATCTGTTTTTGTTTAATTTTTTTCTCTCTAGGAACTTCTAGGTTCATTATCTGAGGTATGGGGCTTTTTAAAATTTATTCTGGTAGGGTTCAGCGCAGCAGCTCACACCTGTAATCCTAGCTCTTTAGGAGGCCCAGGCAAGAGGATTGCTTGAACCCAGGAGTTCAAGACCAGCCTGGGCAGCATAGCAAGAGCTCATCTCTACAAAAAAACCTTATTAGTTGGGCATGGTGGCACATGCCTGTAGTCCCAGCTACTCAGGAGGCCAAGGTTGAAGGATTGCCTAAGCCCAGGAGGTCAAGACTATGGTAAGTCGTGATCATGCCACTGCACTCCAGCCTGGGTAACAGAGTGAGACCCCAAGTCAAAAAAAAAGAATGAAAAATAAAATTTATTTGAGTAGATGTTCAGAAAACTTGTTCATTCGTTTTGGGAAATGTTCTAGTATTTTTCTGTGAGAGTTTTTCCTCTATAGTCTCTATTCTTGCTTTCTGGAATATTGGGCCTCCTAACCCTTCCTTTTAATTTATTAAATCTTTTTGTTCTTAACATTAATCTCATTTTACTTTCTATAAAATTTTCTCAAGTTTATCTTCTACTCTTACATTGAAATGTTTTCTGTTCTGTTATCTTACATTTATTTTCAAAAAGCAATTTGTATATATTTTCAAGAAATACTGTATCTTATCCTTTTGCAGATGTTTCCTTTCTTCAGGTTTCCTGTTGCTCCAGGCACTATCTTTTCTGTCTGTGTCTTCTGTTTGGAGTTGGAGGCTTTCCTCAAAACCTAGTGATCCTTATTTGTCTGTTTATACAAGAATAAAGCACTTAAAAGCTAAATGGAAGCTGTGTGTGTGGAGGCCAGGTGCAGTGATGGTAGGGCTTCCCTACTGTATTAATCCAGGGGCAGGCAAGCTTAATATTTACTGAGAACCTCCATTTATCGGAGTCTCTTGATCTTTCCTTGGGAATAGTTCTGTTTCTTTAGGGATGGATCCTCTCATTGCTTACCTGGGGAATACAGATAGTCCCTAACTTACAATGGTTTAACTAACAATTTTTCAACTTTATGATAGTGTGAAAGTGATAGACCTTCCGTAGAAACTGTATGTTGAATTTTGGATCTTGATCTTTTCCCAAGCTAGTGATATGTGATGCAGTACTCTCTAATGATGCTTCCAGTCAACACATGATCACAGGGTAAACCACTGATACTTTGCAGTATTATGTTGCCAGGTGATTTCAATCACTATTTTTAGGATAATCTATACATTTCTTATTCCCTAATTTCATATTTGCTTATATTGAAAAATCAAGTAATATATGATATGATGTAAGAATCTTTTTTCTTTTTTAAGTTATTAGCTTAAAAAAGTGTACATTCTGTTTTATGTTCTTTAAGTTAGAAATAATAAACTATATAAAATATTTTATTTAAAATGTTTACCCATAATTGCAATTATATATACTGTCAGCCAATCATGCAAAATAATTTAGTGAACTGTTATGATAAGAGAGAAAAGAATAACTCATCTGTGACAACTTTATGGTCTTCCCTATTAATTTTCTTTCTACAGTCAATAAAAATCTGTTAGAATCTTCAGTTAGTTAACTCACTATAACTGTAAAATAGAAAACATTATCACCGATTTGAATAAGGAAACCTATTCAGGAAACACAGCCAGCAAATCTTGGAGTCAAAACCTGACCCAGTTTTCTGATTCTGAGATTAGTGATGAGCTTACTATACCACAGTGCAGCAACATTTTCATCTAGGTTAATGCAATTTTTTTAAAAATTAAAAATTTAGCTGGGCTCGGTGGCTCAGCCTG